TCGTTAATGGTGACTCAGTGGGTAAAGCTATAAACTTTAAGTACGTATATATCAAATAAGAGCCACATCACGAAGGGCTATTGATATTATACCGACTAAAAAAGTGCATGCTAGGCTCTAGCTCCTAGTAGTATAGCTAATAAAAGATAACCCAATATTAAGCAGCAGCTAACTGATCAAATCTGATCTTGTGCAATTGTGAGGCAGCTTAACGAAAGCGCTTTCAAAATAAGATTCAAATAGACGCAATAGAATGATCATATATATGTATCCAGTAATAGAGATATTTCAGAGCTAAAGTATAGTTAGTTATATATATGGAAATAAAAGCCTTCAAGTTCCTTTAAAATACTTTAAAATTTACGGGAATTCCAGATCTATATTTTCACAAGTTGATGAGCCGGACAAATTGGACATTTAGGACAAATGGCCCTTAAGTTTTTTACCAGCGCTGTTATTTGAAGAGAGCTTTTAAATTTCTTGTACTCATAAGGTGACTTCACTTTGCGAATACTTGACTTTGGAGAACGCTCAACTAAAATTTCACGAGATTGATTCACAAGTTAAGATGTATAATCTTGTACGATGTTCAATGTTAATGAAGCTTAAATTGATAGATCCTTTTTAAATGAACGGGACTAACCTTTAACGAAGATGACAGGTTAATAATAACTATACATAGAAATGATCAAATAGATCAGAGATGTGAAATAATATTTATATAGATTCAATCAACGTGGAAACATATTATACATATATATACACCCATGGATAAAGTACTGCTTCTCAGCACGCTTTGAATTTATTTTATAAAAGTTAGTAATTATATATGAATATATATCAATAGCGACATGGGTTATAGATTAACGTATATATGCGACTCGAATTGAGCTGGAGAGCTCCTATACATTGATCAGGACGCTCAATATTATGAGTGACTCGTGAGTGTCAATTCGATATACTCAATATGAAATATCGTGCCTCAATTAAGTACAAATATTCTATCTGGAACAACATCTTGGCTAGAATTGTTATACTCACGCACATATATCAATTTATAGAACTATGAATCATGATCCCGTTTCAGAATTCAAGTCATGTATATTTGATATCACTAGATCTAAGAATTAGAGACAAAAGAACAAAATTTTAAGTCATGATCGAGCTGTATGTTTCTTATATATTAAATAAACTTTTAACTGTATTATGTTGCCACACGATCTCAATAAAAACGTTGTTAATGACGTCTAGAATTAATTAGTCCTGATCGATATCGTCCATCCACGTCAAACTCTTTAACGGTATCAATTAATCCTATACGCTTTGACAAACGATTAAATTCAAGTTCAAGTTCAAACTTCAAGGCCCTGATATCAACCGAGGTTAAAATCAAGTTATAATTAAAGCATTACTACGTACTATAGCTAGAATATACTGTCTTGCAACTCTCCATGATTAACAACGACCCTGTACCTTTCTGAATGATACCATAGTACAAAAGTATCTTTCAGACAAGGGTTATATACCATCAATAACTATAATTCAATGGGTAGGTATAATCATTCAGTATGTCAGCTGTACCAAAGTTTCAAGTCGTGGATATACACGTCCTATATTCATGATTTCTCTTCTATAATTTTTATGTTCGACATACTTGAACTAGCTTGAGCCTTGTAATGATCAAGGGTATATTTGAGTGTAATTCTTTAGACGAACTGCAGTTCTTGGGCCGATATTTAAACCTGAAAGCTTTCAAATGATTACAGAAAGTTGGAAGCTTAGACAACTTAATCTTTACCTTCGATATTAAATGAAACATAATAAGGAGCCCGAAGGAAATTGTTGACACCAATCAATTGTTGCAACATATAGATCAGTATTACAGATGTATCATAGTGAAACATGAACACATGAACAATATTTTGACACTTAAATTTAACCTTCTGGAAATCAAAAGGCTCAAATTTTGTCTTTTTTAAGACTTTGTCCCCTTTTACGAAGTGAAATCCCGCGAATTGAAAAATATAAGATTTGAAGTTTGCATTTGCATTTTGTGATGTGCCTAATATAGACTACCGGAATTAAACACCAGCATAGCTATTCATTTGAATTTCCTAGTGAATTATCTTGTGTGGAAATGGATAGAGTCAAGTGAAAATGGTTGAATCTTGTTTACTACATGTAAATTTTTGGTGTATGACATGTGAAATTGATCTGGATATATATATGTGAGTTACTATTTGACATGGTGTGTGTACTGTGTACTAAAATTTTTATTGTTTCTTGAATCTTGCAAGTGAGTTTTTGTCTGAATTGTAAGTTTTAACTTGTGCGTGATGCATACTATCAAAGTATATGTACATGATGTACATGTTAATGATTAGTGAAGTACCTTGAAAATTGATAGATCTTCATAACAATTTATGGTAAAGAGTACTGAAAGGGTACGCGTAACGCGGCTTATAGCTACCACATTCAAAGAGTTAATCATTAAAGGGTTTTGTTATACAACAAGCTGCTAACTTCTAAGTTATGGGATATTTGAAGATTCTTTAAAGCATATATCCACAACATGCTGAATTTTGGTTACGTTTTGGGTATGTAATACTCCTGAAGATTGGATTGGTATTTTCACGCAAGCCGTGACACATGAAACAGCTGAAACGTCCATATTATTAAGGTTTGAATGGTTTTGAGGACTTAAGGTATTTGGTATTGTGTTCAGTTGAATCTTCTATCTGTGTTATCATGGAGTCTATATGACAAGTATATACGTGAATACGTACCGTTCATCACTTGATATCTCGGTGTTCATGAATCACATTGTTGTGAATGTCATGGAAAATTCACGTCAAACGTCAAACACAGCTCGCAAATTTTTGGGCAAAAAATGGAATTGATATGCTACAGCTGTACCTATACAACCAAAATTTCATCTAAAAAAACTGACTAAAATGTACGGTAGGTAGGAACGAAATGATTAAAAAGTTAAATGATTGCATGTCAAAGCTATGGAGGTACGTATAATTATTAGACATATGAATGGGAGGGTCAAAGAAGTCTAAATTTCATTGAATTAAAAGCCGCATACGCTGCTTTCCCGAGAGACAACTCAATCTTTGTATATATATAGCTCAGGGAATGGCCATATATATGTGTTTATGATCTTTGGACTAATAAGTATATTGTCAACTGATCAGTGATTTATTGAACCACGAGATTGTTTAGCTCCATTGCACAGGTTCCAAAAGACGTATCTGCCTTCAAAAGTTCATTGTGCTTAATTTAACAGTTGATTTAATTTGGCACACTCTTACCTACATCAACATCAGCTTACATATATAAGACAACAAAGTTCAAACCTTTACAACAAAAAAATTGGGTTCGAATATACGCTGAAACTCAGCTTTTGACACTACCATATATATATCAAAATCCTGTCAATTAAAACAGTATCAGATTATCATTAAGATTTGTGATTTAGTTTTGTACAATTCGTTTGTCAACTATTGCATTTCTGTTACAAGGGATCTGTCCTGGAACAAAGTTGAGTAAAGGTTGAGACTTAGAAGTTAGTGTTGGCTGGCACACAAAAATAACTTTCCACTAACTTTTTAACTTCCAGACCATCATAACATTAGAATTTAAAACTTTGTTAAGTTGTGATTATCATTAAAACTAAAAATTGACAACATATTTCCATTCTTTTCAAGGTATTTTCAAAACAATAAAAACTTTTTAATTCAATTGCAATTTGGTTACATTGGTTTCTCATATACATATCATATTTATATCACAGAAACTATATATTGGAAAATACTCTCGAGTAAAAACTGGATATATATATTTTTGGGTCAATATTATTATTATACATTATATTGGAAAAAAGTGAAGAAAAACAAATTGTATACAAGCTGGTAGTCAATTAAGAATCTAGACAAAAGAAACCCAGTTTGTTCAATTCATATCCATTTCATCTCAATCCAATTCCATCAGGTTCTTAATTAACATTTTCCTTTCATCACCATCAATTTCATTAAACTTGAATTTCAATAATCAGGTGTTGTTTTACTTTTTGTTGTTTTATTCTTTTGCACATATATTCATTCATTTGTTTCAATTTGTTACTAAACAATCCTATATATTTTCTTGAATGTACTATATTCATTGATCATAATACAATTTTTTAGTTCTAAAAGTTTCATATAAAGGGAAAAAAAGTTATAGAGATACAATTTGTCAAATTATTCAACTTAAAGAACCCAAAACTAATCAAGAAGTCATATATCTTTGAAAAAATAATTCAGTTGAAAGAATTATGTCGGATAGTTACAAAAATTCAAAGTCTAACTATGATCGATGGAAACCAGGTACAAAGCTGGCCTGTATGATGACACTCAAGGCTGTTTGTCAGGACTCAAAGTTTTATGATTCTGCAAATAATAGATTTAATAGTTTAACATGGCATACAGTTGCTGAGAATTTGAATAATGAATATCCAGATTATGCTAAAAGATTCACAAATATCAATGTTAAAGATCGTTATGATCGAGTTTTAAAACATCATAAAGTGTTTCGTAAAATGGCAAATAAAAGAAATGGATTTGTTTGGAATCCAAAGAATTTTTGCTTTGACTTGAATGAATTATTGATAAAACAATATGAGAATGATCAAAATTCTAATATTCAAACGGGTTTAGGTGATAATAGGCAATCATCAAACGCTTCAAAGAACAAAAAATCTTCAAAAGATCCAGATGCTATAGTACCTAATGAATTAAATGTCGTTAGATTCCTTTCAAAACCTGGTCATATAGATCTGGAATATTATCATAGATATATTTATCAATTTTTGAACCAACAAGAATTTAGAGATGATGTTGTGGTTTCTACACCAAGTTATATTGAAGATGCTATATCAAAGGGGATTTTAAACATTGTTAATAAACCCAATTTCAGTGTTAAAAGTGAATATGATCAAAATCAATTTGGTGATACCACATCACCATTAATGCTACAACAACATTCACATTCAGGTTCTGTAACTTCAAATGCTACAAATTCATCAAGTTCTATACCATTATTATCAAATACATCAGCTATACCCAGTCAATCATCAATGTCTTCAAATTCATCTTCATTAGTACCACAAGCTTCAGCGTCTATGATACCCACTACGGTACCTCATGGCTCTCAAAATCACCCTTCACAACATCAACATATCCATCCTCATCAACAACATCCACATCCACATCCACATCCACATCCAGTATTACAACACCCTCAACATCCTCAGAATGACTTGGATTTCACAGGATTAATGGCTCAACAACAAGGGGTTCCAAATATTCAACATCAGCATCCACATCCTACTACAACACAACAAATGCATCCAATAATACCACCACCTCTTGGTCAACCTTTAATGAATCCAATGGTTACAGATCCTAATTTAATTCAAAGAACTTCAATGGGTGAACCTTTTTTCAAAAAACCAAAGATTAGTCCACAAAATTCTAGTAATCAAATAAATACTGCAAATTTTATAGGCGCAGGATTTAACTATGATACTTATGAATCAATGATGGGTGCTGGTGGACAAGGAACTACAAATGATTCCACTACAACTCACACTCCATTACAAGCTCCAAATAGTACTTTACAAGATAATTTAGATCATCAACCACCTTCCAATTCAGCGGCAACAAATTCAACTTCAAATACTAATGGTTCAAATACTGACAAAATTTCACCAACAAGTAGTATAAATGGATTAGGTTCAAGTAGTATTATTGGATTAAGTTCTGGTGAAGCTATTTTAAAAATTCATAAAGAGTTTTCAATGATGAAGAATGTTGTAAATGAACAAGTTTTAAATCTTAGAATTGGTAAATTAATAAGTCATGAAGAGTTTGAAAAAATTCAATTAGTTATAAATTCAAATGATCAATTCATAAGAAGTGCTTACAAAAGATTAAATGACGATAATAAATTGGTTGAATTGATTAATATCTATTTGAATAATCTTGAATGAACCAAGAATTTAATTTGACTTGATTCAGTAATTGGTTGTTCCTGAATTTGGAAAACGGGTTCCATTCTGTATGGCGGTTAAAATTATCTTGATTAATTGAGATTAATTTATGCTTTTATTTGCTGGTTGTCTAAGATGCTTTTTACTAGGATTGAATCAATTAAGAAATGATACATTGAAACGAATGAATTTGCATCTTATAGATTTTTCAGTAATTGATGAATAAAAGTTGATAATTCATGATAAGATTAGAATGTGACCTTTAATTGATGATATGAAGAACTCATAGATAACCTTACCAATTGATTCTTTAATTTAAACAGTGAAGGTCTAATTGAAAAAATGTGTTTGTATTTTAGAAGCTTCTTCAAATGTGAATTGAAGTGGTAACCATAATTTATAAACCCATGTACTATAACAAAACCATACTAGCTAGCAGCTAACAAAAAAGTAATATGGTATCTTTTAATTTATGTTAATATTTTGCTTTCCATTAATTGATGTTCATTAGCTATTAGATAGATCTCAAAGCTAATATTGTGATATATACATACAAAACATACAAATATATTTAAATGTAATTATACAAAAGGAGTTTTTAGATTCAGTAATAATGTAGTTGCAATTTGCAAATATTCTTGTAGCTGCTGGTTCTCAGCTGAATTGGTCAAGAAGATTCGCATAATATTCGCATATGCGTATAGGTAATTAATTATATATAAATCTGCCTAGAGAGAGTCTTCCAGGTACGACTAGTATCAGGATTTAGACGGGAAGCTTCTGCTTAGAGCCTTGCCCAAACTTTCTTTAGTTTCTGAAGTCTGATGATCAGCTGCTGTTCAGCTGCTGTTCAGCTTCTGTTGGGCTCCGGTAAAGCCCTGCTAGTGATACACTCGCTAGGCTCATGAATAATGATTCATGAAGTTTCCGACAGACTGGCGTAATGCCTTCAAAATCCGAGAGGTAATTTGCAAGGATGCGCTTCCAAATAGTGAACTGCTTTTCCCTGCCTGCCAATAAGCTGCCTTCTACCAGCCAATGCATCATCAAGTTACAACACTGGCAACCAAAGTGACCCTAGCTTCTTCCGAATCTTGTCCAGGATATTTGCAACCTGCCAGTTGTAACTCGTCAGTCAGACAAAGTAATCTTTGTTCGCCATTGGGTACAACGGTATATGAACATTTTATATATACCGCCTCTAGGTGAAAATCAGTGACTAGTATGTTTACTCAAGAATGTGAACTAATTTAACGGGCATTTTGTCGAAAAACCTTATATTATGAAGAGTATAGGAACTGGTCAGTGGTTATGGATTGGAATTTGGAGCCTATATAGAAGTCAGGAAGTAGTTTGAGTTGAGAAATGGACCATAGTTTTTTTTCAAGGACGTAAGATATTGCGATCATGCGTACACCTATATATTGCTTCATGAATGACTTTTTGAGAGTGTCATTCATTTAACCATCTAATAAGTCAGGACTGATCAATGCTCAAGCTTTGAGATTTAATTAACTAACTTCCCTATATACATTCGTGTTTAACAACTCGTGATTATTCCATGTCAATGAATATGTCTCTCGCATAGCCGATGACCTGGTGCTTAAGGCTAGTCATCTTTCGATATGATCAAGTCAGTTACACGTATATATATTATATTATATTATAGATATATACTATATATGAAAGTCAACATGAATTAGTCAAAAGCTGATTCCTACACTAATTACAGATCTTACTGTCGACCACATTATAAGATACTTTAGGCTTTAGCCTATCTATATATGGTTTATGTCATGCTTCCTTTAGTATATACATGAGTTCTTTGAAAACAATAGAGGTAGAGCTTTATAAAGCTCATAGAAAGTCTATAGAACAGTATATTTGAGAATTTAGAACACAGCTTTGAGACATTACAAGCTTTGAAAGCAATTTAAACTATGATTACGACTAGGTTCTAGAAGCCATTTTTTACTATATAGAAGTGTTCGTGATTTCTTTCTGATCCAGCTATCTATGATCTGTCATCTGACTGTTGTTAAACAATCGACCTGTACTGCTTTAATAAGACGAGTTTTTCATGATGAAAGTTAAACATGATACGATAGATACTTGTACCGTCATCAAACGACTCGAATATTGCCATGTCAGTAACATAGAGATGGAATAATTATCAGCTCAGGTATAGATTGCTTGAAAGTGAATACTTTAATCCTTTTTAAACTGCCAAACTCTCAGTAATAAAGCAATCCTATACCATACATTTTTACTCATGAATCAGACGTTGTGAAGTTGTGAATATAATCTCACGAAGGTTGAAAATTCCCAGGCGATTAAAATTTTGTATTGATCAGTAGTTTACTTTGAAAAATGTTCATATGTGGTTTCATGTAAGTTTAAGTATTAATCCTTTATACGTTCTTCGAAAATGAAAATTGACATGATCAAGCAGCTTGTAACTGTGAGAGCTATGTTCATCTTTACTACCAAAGATCTTCCTTTTTGAAAACCTATACATAAACTCACAACGGTAAATCCCTGTAAATATGTTGATCCATACTATATCTTTCTTTCAATCTTATATATATAGAGTGGAAGCCTTGTATATTGTTGTCAGGCAGAACCTTTAGACAGCTTCATATTAACGTATAAGTTATAACCAATATTTATCATATCTACAAGGTTTTTGAAGTTTAACCAGCTATAGGGTATAATTTACAATTCGGCTGGTAACGTAACTATTGTCCCACCCCATTTAACCACCCCATTTAATACTAATACGTTTTACCAATTATTAAATCTCAGC